AATAGATATTGGTTCGCTTCGAAGAGACTTATTCAATGAAAGAGACAATGAGACACTTTTGCGTGCAAGTCTGGACTTAGTTAAAGAGCACTGTGACAAGACTCGATTACAGATAGCATCCTACTAGCAGCGTGCAAAGAGGTTCTTCGATTCTAAGGTTAGGGGAAGAGACTTTCAAGTTGGCGACTAGTTTTGAAAGAAGTCTTTCTCGATATAAGGGAACCGAGCACGGGGGTACTAGGACCTAACTGGGAAGGCCATACTGCATCGCCAAGGTAATACGACCAGGAATGTATCACCTCAAAAGACTTAACAATTTTGAAGTACTGCGAGCTTGGAATGTTGAGCATCTCTGCCTCTATTACCAGTAATTCCGAACTCGCTTATAATTTTTCATTTCCTTGCAAACTTTGTAAATACGATCGTTCTTAAGCAAATTTGTCTTGTATGATCTTGTTCGTTGCAATGTTTTTACAAGTTTCCTCTTCGCATATGTAACATTAGTCTTGTGAAGTACCCAAAATTATAAGTGTTATCACAAATAGCAAAAAAATATTTCTTTTATATATATATATATAATGGAGACAAGTAGAAAGACAGTTAAGAAATGAAAAAATAAAGTTAAAAACAAGGCTGTGCAGAAGCAGGAAGAAGCGATCACTGGTGTCCACCTCAAGGCCCTGCAGGTGCGACCTTGGTATCCCTCGGTTGGTCGTCGACCACCTGGTCAACTATTGGGTCCTCTGGGACATATTCCTTTGGCTGATCATCCTCTAGAGGAGGCTCTTGTCCCTCTTCCTCCTCAACGTCATCATCAGTGTCTGCCATGGAAGCAAGGATGTTCTGATATTCGATCGGGAGGTCAGAGAGGTCCATCCTCGGGTTCTTTGGTCGCAAACTATAGATAGCCTGAATCGCCCAGTCAACGGCCTTTCTTTCAATTTCAAAGCTTTGTCGCTTCATTTGATCAATTAACAAAGTGACTCGCCCTTGGAAAAACTCGAGGTCCGTCTTTGGTGCTCTCTTCAGCTTCTTGGTATTTTCCCACAGCCGAGCTCTTTCTTCCTCTACCTTCATGGCCCGTTCAGAGTTTGCTTTCAGCTCCTACTCTTTCTCACCACACTTTTTGGTGAGTCTGGCCACTGTCCTCTGGAGTTCCTTGATCTTTTCGCCTCTCTTCTCGAACTCGGCCTTCTGGAACTGTACTATGCGAAAGGCAGAGTTCCTCTCTAATAGGTATTGATTCACTTGGATGTGGTATGCTTTGCCTCTATGTCTAGAGCCGCGAGGTCCTGTTTTAGCTTCTCATCTTCTTCTTTCAGCTCGTAGAGACCCCTAGCAAAGTCCAGGCTGATCTTCTGTTGGGCCATATGCAGGGCGAGCAGAGACTGCGTGAGAAAGGAAACAAGGGTTAAACCCTATTTTTTTGAAAAACATAAAGGGTATGAAAACCAACCGATATTGGAAAATCCTCAACGAGGACGAGCTGCCTTACCTGGCTTTACAGCTAAAGCGCTGTGGTCATCAGGTCCACAAGTCGAGAGGCCACGAACTCCTCAAAAGTTGCAGCAAGTTGGCACTCTAATAGGGTATACACCATCAGTTGCAGGTGTTCCGAAAGTTGTCCCATGGAGTCCAACACAGGTGTGTCCGCCCTTGAAGGAACTAGCATCTCGCCAACTGGCTCTTTGCTCGTTCTTCTTCAGGTGATTGCAGCCTCCCCCTGTCCCCTGCTCGAATGCTTTGGGACTATCGAAATGTTAGGTGCGGACCTCAGGGTCGCCCTCGAGCGAAAGGCCTGGTAAGGCTGTGACCTCTCGGGCTGAACCCTTAAGCCTTCTAGCTGGGACTCTGATTCCTCAGCCTGCATCTGCTTTCTTTTCTTAGTTTTTTGGCCCATGGTTTTCTGCTTGGGGGCGCGAGCAGTTGCGGGCTGAGAAGTTTCCCTTGTCATTTTGAGGGTGTTCGCGCACCCATCTGTATCCCTCCTGTAGGGGTATTGCCAGGGATCACCTCGGCTGGCTCAGTGGGGACGACCTAGGGAAAAACAAACCCCCTAGTCCTTGTCGTCGGTCTCGAAACTTTGGTTGGCATGGTCGTTGCATGAAGGCTAGCGAATAAGGTCACTACATGCAAAAGAGAGAAATTCTAAAGTGCAAGGACACTTACGAACTAAGGGCTCCAAAGACACTTTGGGATTGAAGAAACCGTATTTTCTCAAGTTGGCGGTAGTCATGAGTAGTCTCGCATCGCCCCTTTGCTTGGGCAAATTACCGAATGCTATGATTAAGTTGAAATCAGTCCGAGTCGTTAACCTGGTCGTCTTATTTCCTGCAAAGAGACGAAAAAGTTTGTTAGAAAGCAAAGACTGAAGGTAAAGAAACAATTCGCAAAGTAAAACGAGGGAAAACGTACTCGGTTCCCTAAACTGGCAGACGCCATCGTATTGAGAAAAGGAAAATTTGGTTTCATAGGCCCCGACATTACTAGGGTAACCAAATATTCCTCTTTCGATCGTAGATCGCTTCGAGAGGTAAAAAGAGTCTTTATCCTTACTCTTCTTCAAGTAATAAGAGCATGCAAGCTCTAGTGCAGTCAGCTGGCCGAGGCCATTCTCACCATATGCGATATACATAGCAACAGCTATCATATACACATTGGGCATCAGTTGCAACAGTGCAACCTAGAAGTGATCGATGATCGACCTAATAAAGAGGTGAAAAGGTATCAATGCCTAGCATTTGAAGATCGTCTCCGAGATCGTGGCCATTCCTTCTGGGAGATTCGAGCTGTATATGTTCTGTGCTAGGAGACATTCACGCTAAGTGCGTATTGGTCCACTGCCTTTTGTATCTCATCTCAGGTGGCCACTGACAAAATCTCTTGCACGAGACCTGTTGGGGCATCCTATGCCTGCAAGCTCGTCCCCTCTGTTGTCCTGGTCGTTGAGGCATCCATTGCTCCTGAGGTCTGAAAAAGGGGTGACACGCAGAGATAACTCAGTCTTCGTATAGTATTCTGTACGATGACGTGGAAGAACAAAAGAAACCCTAATGTACCTTCCTTAAACCCTAGAAAAACCCTAAAAACCCTTGGGGACAACCCCCAAGGATTTGTGCCCTAAATTCTTACTCTTTATGAAAGAAAAAGCCTTCTCCTCACAACTGCCCATAAATATGCACCACGAAGGTTTACCAAACAGTTCATAACCCACTATTATCATTAAGACAAGCTATCAACAAAATAGTAAAAGAAAAGCAAAGGAGAAATCCTCATTACCTCTTGGCTGTGGGAACAGACTTTCTGTCGTAAACAATGGGTGCACGTCAATTGGAAAAAAGGGAGATTGATTTCGTGAGAGCTTTGTTCTTTCTCTGAAAGTATGAGTTTTGTGACAAAGCTTGAGACGAGCCTAGGGTTTTATAGGGGGACAAAGTGACGATTGATTTCCCTAGGTAAGTGATGCTTGGGCGAAATACGTTTCTCACCATTGATTGCGACCACATGTCATCAATCCGCAAGAAGAAGTAACCGCCGTGCTTCGAGAATGCCAATCGATGCTTCCCTCCATTGAAACAACCAAGCGACGACTCAATTATCTCCTCCACATTAAATGTGCCCTCATCCGCATTTAATGCTTTGAAAAAGAATGTCGTTTCAGCATGACTTGCATTTAATGTGCATGGCTGACACTTATTGCGCACTAGACATGTTTGTCAGAATAAAATTATTTTATTAAACAGATTAGCTGTCAAGAGCAACGGATAACATCTGAAAAGGTCGTTTGGTCAGAACACTCTTCGCCGCGTATCGATTTCGAGACAATGCGATTCCTTGTCCTTGGTAAAAATATGCTAAGTATTCTCAGGTCGCGGACCACAGATGAGATTTGAAACACATCGGTACGGCACTGAGTGGGGCCTGATCTAAGTCGTTGAACTTGTGGAAGAAGGCCATCTCAGGTTGCTTGTGCTACCCTTAGAGACATGTGCTACGACTTCTTTGCAGGTCAATTAGCTCGACCAAACATCATTTGGGACAAGTTAAGTAGCGGTATAATCATGAAGTTCTCAAGGTTCAATCCTTAGACCTTAAAAATTGGAGGACTTCTGTTATGCATGAAAAGTTAGGGCTAACGTGGACTCTCGTCAGCAAGAGCCAATCAAGATTCAATAAGGTTTTGTGCCGTCAAGGCGCTGCCACGTCGCGTAGTGACAAAAGAGGTATGGTTCTTGTCAATGCAGTAGGTGAGTGGCAGACTTGCGAGTAGTTAGGGATTATCCACCTACCCAAGCCCTACGCAATTTGAGGATATTTCTTGTGCAGATAACCAATGTGATGCAAAGAAGGATTTGCCCGGCACTTACTCACTTGCAGCCTTGTAATCATTACCTTGAACTCTCCTACTATAAATAGAGGACACCCCTCTCATTTACAGGATTGGTTGATCTTAGTCTAAAACAGTTTATACACACACACATACACACATTCTCTCTCTCTCTCTCTCTCTGTGTATTCCCTCTAGATTGTAACTCAGCTCGCCGCACGCGACCTGATTTTACCTATCTATTAATACAATCAGTGGCGAAGCTAGGATTTTTGCCCGGGGGGGCCTCCACGGCTCCGCCATTGTTTGCCAAACAACTAGTGAAAACTTTAAAAAAACCACCAAACCTTAAGCAAAAGAGTTTACAACAACCACAATCCACCAAAAATATTCCACACAAATTTAGAGGTCAATCACAACTCTAACACAAGTAAAATACATAAAAGTTTACAAAGAGATAGATTAAAATCACTAGAGAAGTAGTCAAACTTCATGTTGTATAACTCCAAATCCAGACGTTAATATCAAAACTCAACCGTCTAGATTAAAGATCCACACATCCTCTGTGTATTGACCAAAAAATCAAGTTAGAATGGTATACCTGAAGATTTGAATATATGAATATTGATTGTTTAAATATGAAAGCAAGTTAGAATGGTATACCTGAAGATCTTCAATTTAACACGATTTTCCGCTTCGATATATTCTGCAAGTGTTCAATGATATCTTCATTTTCAATTGTAGCAAAAAATTCCTTTTCAATGTAAACAACCAAGCAATTGTTCATCCAGTCGTCTCCTATTCGATTACGAAAACTATTTTTCACAAGATTCATTGTAGAGAACACCCTTTCAACTGTTGCAGTAGCCACAGGCAAATCCAATTGCTAATTTAATAAGCAAGAAAACTTTGTTGTAAGCAACATTCTTCTTAAACTCAACCATTTTTTTAGCAAGGTCGGTAATCCCTTTGACATGAGTGAAATTGGCATTAGTGCTAACATCCTCATAATAGTTTGAGCAACCAAATGTCCTGTTGAGGAAAATCGGCAGGATAGAACTTTGCAAATTCAAGTAATCTATCTTTGTTAAATGCAACAAAAGAGTTACTTGGATCAAGAGATGCCATACATTGAAGAAACCTCATATTTACTTCATCAAAACGATTATTGAGTTCTTCTTGAATGTTATCTAAAATTGTATACATCAATTCCACCTTAAAATGATGTTTATTAGTAATTGGCGCAATCCCCCATTTTGTCCTTCAAAGTTATCTTCCATATTCTCCAAGATTGGTATGTCATTATCTTTGCACATTTCAGAAGTTTCTTTTAATAATATGCCGAAGCAAGTGTCTTCATTTCTTATTTTATGCAATTGACGCTGCAAAATTTGTACAAATTGTATAGCATTAGGAAGATCTTGATCTTTTCTTTGTAATGCTTGTGACAGTTCATTTGTGATTCCCAATACTCTTTTCATTAAGAATAACAAAAAGACAAATTCAAAATTCTCCATGATTCGTAATAAACTTCTTGCTTGACTTTTGTTTTGCCAATCGTCTCCTTCAATCTCAATCACCATATGCACATCAACAACAGAAGAAAATAAATTTATGACACTATGAATTGTCCCTATGTGTGAACCCCAACGTGTATCTCCTGGTCGTTTAATGGTGCATTTTTGATTCAAACCTCGTCCCATATGAAGATCACCATTAGAAATCAAAGATATCACATTTTCATATTGTTTATCACGTAGAAAATCTCTGTGCTTACAAGATGCCGCTATAGTGTTTGATAAAATAGAAAGAGATTGAAAAAATTCACCCAATGCCGAATGGTTACTTACAACTTAGCGCCAGTTAGAGTTGATGAGAGAAATAATGAATGTAGAAAGCTGATTTATTTTCTCTCAATATCAAAGTCTTCAAACCATTGAACTCACCTCTCATATTGCTTGCTCCATCGTAACCTTGCCCCCATAAACTTGTCAAACTCAATCCATGCTTTACAAAAAAGAAATCTATTGCAATTTTCAAAGACTTTGCAGAAGTCTTCTTAACATGCACAACCCCGATAAAACGTTCAATAACAGAACCTATTTTGTCCACATAGCGAAAAATAATAGCCATTTGTTCTTTCACTGCCACATCATGAGATTCATCAACTAGTAAAGAGCACGGTTGTTTATCTCTCACAATTTCTGCAATAATTTTCTTGGTCATCAAATAAGCACAAACACTAGTTAATTCCCTTTGGACATTGGGGACCGCCATTTGAAGGTTTTTCGGAGCATTTTCTAGCACAACTTTTTTTATGTCGTCATTATGATTGGATAAAAACTTCAATAGTTCCATAAAGTTACCTTGATTTTCAGATTCAACCGACTCGTGATGACCATGAAATGCCAATCCTTGATGTAAAAGAATTCTAATGCAATCAATTGATGCATTCAAGCGAATGCGATAGTCCAATTTGACCTTTTTCAACACGCAAGCAAGATTTACATCGATGTGTTGCCTTTGGTTTATCAAATCAACACACTTGGCATGACATTGGTTATGAGTACTAGAATGATCTCCAACATGTTTTTTCACTTTCACTTTATCTTTCCAATTATTAAATCCCTTACTCACAAAAACTTCACCACCTGCTTGGTCACCATAATCAGTTTTGAAAAGATAACAATTTAAACAAAAGATGCAATCTTTTGCCACACTATATTACATCCAACTTGGACCTTCTTTGTACCACTCTGGTGTAAACCTACGCTTTTTATCTCCGAAAAGAGTGAAAGGAAATTTATGATCTTTAGGTTGGCAAAGACCTTTCAACAAGTGTGCTGTTCCAACTTCCTCCTTTTGCTTGTCAGTACAACAAATCTCGTTAAATGGTGTTGTTGTTGCTGATGTGGGGCTTCTTCTTCTAATAGGATTTGATTAACCTCAATATCAGTAGAGTCTCCATCAACAATTTCTGCTGGAATTTTCTTTAATCTCTTGAAATAATTGGATATCATAGCTATCAAATAAAAAAAAGATAATATGATACATGTAAAGAAAGACCGATGAAACTTTAATTAATAAAATTACAAGGACTGACTTATCACGTTTTTAGATGTAACAATTAGATCTAATTAAAAGATTTTTTTAGCAATTAATTAATCATTTTATTGTGTTAATTTTCTTATATTTAAAATCATTTTAGTGAAATTTAAAAACTTATATAATTTGCTAATCAATTTTTTGACTTATTTAAATTATTAGCATAGATAAACTAGATTTAATTTAATTACTATTAGAGCATACTTAGTCAACTAATCACATTATAAAATAATAAAAATATCATTATTAATATATTAATGATTGGTGTAAATCAAGTTGTCCTCTAATTATATAAAAAATTAATTTTATAAATGTATTTGTGATATCTAAAGTCACAAATTAATAATAATGTTTTCAACCAATCACAAAATCAAACAAACACAAAACAAACTCACAAGATTCATAATTTTTTTCATCAGAATAAAAAACCTCCATAAAAACAAATATAATTTAACCCTAAAATAAACTAAACTAAAATAAGTAATATACATACCTAAAACTGATAAAGCAAAAAATAGTCTTTAAAAGTTGTAACTTCAACCGAGCCAGTAAGACAAAGAGAAAGAGAGGCGCACTCACTAAATAAAATTAGGAATACAAAAGTTGTAGTCCTATGGAGATTGGCCGTATACGTCATATGTATAATATATTTATAATAATAAAACTAGTGGGCTAGCATAGCCGCAATATTTATGATGGGTGAGCCTGACATTGCTGCATTAACATATTATAGCAATTAATTTGATTATGACCATATATATTTGTGCCTTTTTTATATAAAAACAATTATAAATATTTGCAATGTTTTTTCAAAATCTGAGGCCTATCCTCAAGAATGCTGTATCTGCCCCTGAATACAATAACAGTGGACGTATGATTCACTTTTGAGCATCCGAACCACTTTAAATATCGCTTCCTATTTATTTTCTCATTTTATTTTTCCTTATCACACGTGATTTCTAAGTCTGCATAACACTTTACACGTGTGATTCATTGGTGTTAAAATCAAGTATCAATAATGACTATAGAGAGGGTTTACTGCGTGTGTGTGTGTGTATATATATATATATATATAAAGTTAGTGGAGGTACGTATAGCCGGAGATAGCAGCCTCTCCTCTCCTTCTACCAGCCTAATATTTCTTTGCCATCCCCAGTATCGCCGCTAGAAAATCGCCTTCCATCAACACACAGAACATGCTGCAAAATTCTGACATTCCGTCGCCAACAGAAGGTTATTATGTTAAAATTCCCGCCGTAATAATTCTAATTCGATGCAGAAATACGACATCGGAAGAGGACGCAACTGGCGTAGTAACAGTTATGCAGCGACATCGATTGGAGCCGCTCCTGGATACGATGCCGAGATGCATTGGATTCTCATTTTAATGTAAAAAGATGGACAGCCGAAGAATATATTAATTATGGGCAAAGATATTGTAATTGAATTTTTGTGCAGAAATTAAGGCCCTAATTAATCTTCCATTATAATAAAGAGAGAAGAAACTAGAAAGAGTATATATTGATATTCCCGCTAATGAGAAGTGTTATAAATATATAATTAAATAATAAATTAAAGAAAAAAGGGTTCATTAATAGACAAAGATTCTTTCGATAAAATAATGAATACAAAGTTGGTGTTTAATAAAAAAATGGTCAAGTTGGCAAGTTGCAGAGTGAGTGAATTGGCCTTTCATCTTTGAAGGAAAATGATTAAGTCACAAGAAAAAGATGCCAAATTTATAAACCGATAGACGTGGCATTATTATTATCATTGATTAATTATGAATTTTGTTTTAAAAAAACAGATAATGCCATATCTGTTTGATATAAATTCAGTATACTTATTCGATGACGATAGAATTACTCCGTCTTCATAAAGAGGCTAGTCGCTTTCCATAAACTTTATATAATTGTGAAGAAGATAGTGCTCTTCACGTGGTCTTGACTTGACAATCTAAAGTTTTCCACCAAATTTAAAGTTTTTTTTCTTTTAACATCAAGTCATGTTCCATATAAATCGATTCACATTCGTTCTTCTTCCACATAATTTTAAATATTGAATATTCTTGAATATTTTTATTTTTTTAAGTTTTTGACAACTCGATCTTTTCCTGGAAAATTCAACTATTCGCGCCCACTTATTTATCCAATCCCATTCTTGGATAAAGATGTTCCAACTAGATTATCATAGTTTTTACACCTTTCATTCATAATTAATTTCAAATTGTTGCTTTCAACACCTTCAACCGAAATACATATGATATGATTGAAGTTATTTATGGCGACAAGGATGCTTCTGCTAGTTCGCAAATTAATGCCGTGAATCGAATATTTACTCATTTTGTTGGAGTCTCATATGAATTAGACACGTTCAAGCTTACTAGTTTATAAGATGAGATAATTCTTCCATTCAACAAGACCTTATTGGGTAAAGAGTTAGATCCAACTTAAATTCTATCATGATATCAAATCCTAAGTTCAATTGAGCTAAATGTTTGACCAGCGGGTGAAGATTTAGAGTCGACAACTACCTCCAATAATATGCATGACCCAACATATGAGTTTGATCATGAGGGGAAGTATTGGAGTCTCACACCGACTAGGAACGCTTAAACCTACTAGTTTATAAGAAGAGATAATCCTCCCATTCAACAACTCTTTATTGGGTAAGGAGTTAGACACACTTTAAATTCTATCACATTTACTTATCTGCATAGTCAAACCTACTAGTTTATAAGAGAGGGTAATCCTCTCATTCAACAAAGTCTTATTGGGTAAGGAGGTAGACCCACTTTAAATTCTATCACATTTACTTATCTATGATTACGAGGGAAACAAGAAAATTAATATATACTTCATTCAAATTCTATTTAAAGATGAAGTTGATATGCCATTTAAAATAAGATAGTTGTAGTGTAGAAAATTATTGTAATGTGGAATGATTCTTCAAAGCTGAAATATCAAGAATAACACATTTATATATAGTCAAATTATGCTACTATTTTCTGAATGAGAAATATTAGATGTATAAAATTTCCTATAAAGAGTTTTGATATCAAGTGATGTGTCAGTTGTCCCACCACTAGTTTATAAAAGGAAAAAGAAGATTAATTAGAAACTAGTGGATGTGGCTGCCACGTCCCTTTGTACACACATGAATTATATAAACAGATAACATCAGCTTTGGTGTTCTCGATCTTTGGTTTTAAAATAATGTAGAGAAAGATGTGGCTAAATCTCATCCTTACATTAATATTCATATTTATATATACAGATAAAATAATGTAGAGAAAGATGTGGCTAACATACCCTTACCGATACGATCCAATCTCATCTCTCAAATTGAAAGCTCAACAACCTCACATGGAGGCGTTGATACTATACACATTCATCATCATCAAAACCCTAATCCAACTCTGCAACATATTCAGAGAGAGCTCCCGCATGAACTCTGATGCTCTATAACTGGGCCACACAACTCACCAATCAAAATCATGGGTTTGACCTTAATAATAATGCATGATTATGGTCTGACGTTGCCGATGATTTATGACGTGTACAGTTCTTGGAGTTTTCATAATGTTTTATTAATTTTGTGATAATGTGAAATACAGTTTGGGAAATATAACTAGATTATAACGATATTTTTTAACCTTAAACTGAAAAGTGGAATTTGGTGGCGGCCGGGAAGAACTAACTAGAAATAGGGTCAGGGGTGGGGCTGTTTATTTGTAGTCTTTTTGCGCCTCCCTAGAAATTCCACTCTTTACTTTTTTAGCGTAAATATTGTCATCTCTCTCTTTTTGTAGATTCTTCCCTCCGCAAATTCCACTCCAGCCCCACCTCACACTGTCTATTTTTCTCTAGGGGACCAATGCCAATAGATAGAGAAAGAATGGAAAAATCTATATATGAAATGAAAGTGGCACTTCATACTATAGTATCCACAAAGCAATTGGTGTTAATGAAATGCCTTTTACTATGAATTGGCAAAGAGATTTGGTATATAAAAGGGATCAAGTTGAACTAGATTGTCATTGGAATTGGAGAAAGAAATAAAAGCGCCATTTAGTGCAATCGAATTCTTAGATTTAAGCACAAAAGTCAAAAGCATAGATTCCGCTGAAAAAATATTGGATGGAGCTGAGTCAGCTGACTCGTAATATACTT